AATAATAATAATAATAAAAGACGGATATGCTATAGAAGAGATGTCAGATCATTTGAAAGTGTGTTATTGTCTACAAGCAATGACACTATCACAAGTCAAAAGGACGAATGTACATTAATACCAACGACCAATAAGCATCTATTCGCTTACTGACACATGCAATTCAAAGATCTGATCCACCGCGTGCTGCTCCCCTTGACCTTGCTCGTGTCACTCGTCCAGCTTCTTCCATGACCACATCTTGTGGAGGAGGTTGAGCAGTTTCATTTGCAGAGGGAGGTACTGAATAAGCCGGCAACACTTGCTCCTCAGTATCGCTCAAGGTTTTGGAGCTCTCGACATGGGCCTGTGCTTGTGCTTGTGCTTGTGCTTGTGCTGGTGTTGTTTTCTGTGCATTCAAGACTGCAGTAGGCGGAGCTGCTTTCAATGATTCTAAATGCCCATCCTCTTCTGCCACGTCTTCTTGGTGCAGACTTGAAGATGTATTAGATGTTAGAGAGGGGGGTTGTTCATTACGGGGCTGCGTTTTTGCAGTTGATCTCTGATTTGTTGGGGCAGAAGGTTGGCGGACTCCAGCTCCTTGCTGTTGCGGCTGCAATGTGAAAATAAGCAGTATTTTAATGGAAAATTTTTATCAGAAGCAATGGAAAGAGATTATAATATTCAAGTTCAAAAGATTCAATGACCCAAAATTGATTTCGAAGAAGATGAAAATGAAAAAGATTTCAGATTCAACAGCCGTGGACAAAGGTTATCGTAATCCAAGCCATCTGCTGGTAAACCAGAGTAGTGGTTGGATTGGAACTCTTTAATGAAATAACATAAGAAAAAACAAGTAGAAGGAAACATAAATTCAATATCACTGGCCAGATGTCACTGGAAATCGGGAGTAAGTTATTCAAAAGTAAATTCATAGCAATATATATGTTATGATCTAAAAATTTCAGTTAAATAATCAAACAATTTTAAACAAAATAATACCAATACATTGCTTCGTGATTGGCAGTCCAATTTATGTTCGACCCTAAAAGTCTTGCCACCCTCTTCTTATTAATAAGAAAGAAGCAGAGAAAGGAAGGAGAAGCATTTTCTATAAAAGGTCTAGGCACATTGTACTCACGAGTCATTCACACTATGAAGAAGCTAGATTATGACACTATGGGGCTAACCATGATTTGATCCCAAATGTAGAATTACAAAACTTATCAAAAGTATGACATATCATTATATGACATATCATTATCCACTTTTATCTCATCTTAAGCCAAAAGGCACCTGAATTCTTACAGAAGTAGAGACTCAAAGCACTCAGTTGCAAGGGGAATTTATGAAATACACACATCATTGTAGAATACAGCAGGGCCAAATGCAGAGACAAGAAAATTATAAGCTTAAGACCACATACCTGAGCACGACGAGGAGGCGTTGATTGTGAAGCAATATATTGCAAAATGTCAAATATTCTAGTCTGGCCATAG